TCTAGATTATAAATCGAGCGCTCAATGTGAGGCAACCAATTTTTCTATCCCCTTTCACTTATTTTGATTAGCTATTGTATTACACTATATTTAGGGATTACATTAGTATTTTAGGGCCAAGGTTAGTAACTCATGCATTTAATGTTTTTTAAAACATTTTAAATAGTATTTGAAGACTTGCATTAATAACTTAAGCATGTTTACTTATTGAATTTATTTTATTTATGCTCATCGTTAATATCCTTGCATTATATTGAGCTTGTGTTGATGTGATATGCATTATTAAGGTTGCGCATAGATTTCAATCTTCTTAATGTCAGAAGATTAGAATTCTTCTTGGTGTGAATAATTATAAATATTTAAACTTTATTTGCTATCATTAATATTTATTTTGAGTTCTTGAAATAGAAAATTGAAGCTTAGCAATAAAGAAAGTGGTGGTTGTCATGAGATCTATCGATTGGACCAACCTGTTCCTTCCACCTATCCGTATTTACCTCGAGGAGTCTCTGATCCTTACTATATTTTGATTATTTTGCTTTTACATCATGACAATATTTTGTATAAGTTTGGGGGTGGCAAAATTTTTATGACACAATCATTAATATTTTTTGTATAATTTACTCTTTTTTGTGTAAAAAAAGAAAAAAAAAGTAATTTTACTTATTTTTTAGTAATTTATTGTTTTGTGTGCTTATGTAGGTTTGATAACCGTGCCGACAATGATGTTGAATATTGGAATAGGTATGAATGGGAATAGTGGAAATAGTGCATGATCATATTAACTAACTCTTGTTTATGTGAAACTTGACATTTTTGTGCACAACACTCATATTTTATACGTTAAGTTGGTGATTTGGTTCATTATTTAGAGAAGAGTTGAGTAGAGTAAGTTAAAATCAAAGAATCTCTATTGTACTGATATAGTCCATTTTTAGAGTAGTTTGGAGATGGTTGAACTGTTACAGGGGGATATTGAGATGAGTAGGGGTTCTATGCATGAAACTATATTGTGTGAATTGCACAAAACCAATGAGACGTAGATGAAGTGAAAGTCTTAAGTTAGGGGTTGATTTTGGAAGCTAAATGTCTAAAAGAAAAGGGGCATAGCATTGATTTATGTGTGAATAGTACTTCTTTTAAAGCCTTTATGACTCAATCAAGTAAATATGTATGGGTATTTGAAAACATGGAGCCTTAAAATCAACTGATTTGGAAGTCATCGGCCTAATGCTCGCTATAGGAGTCATATAGAAAGCAGTAAAAAGAGAAGTTAATAAAAAATCATTTTATCAAGCCTTTATAACTCGAGTGAATAAGCCCGTAAGAGTATTTGAAAACCTGGTCCCTTAAAGTCAACTGACTTGGGAATCATCGGCCTAAAGCTCAATACTTGGGTTATATAAAAAACAAATGAGTGGATGATAATAAAGAGAGAGAGAGAGCGAGAGAGAGAGAGAGAGAGAGAATAAGTGAGGAAAGATACAATAACATTGATTAAGCCCCAAAGCATTTGGTTGATAGAACTATACCTTTAATGCGATGCAAGTAATTTAGTTTAGTCTTAAAGGTGGAAGCAATCTAAAATAGGGGAAACTTTACTTGTTGAATTGTGATGGTATCTATCCAAACTAAGGGAAGGTAAGGATTAGAATTAACTAAACTTTAGCCTTAAAACACATACTGGGAAAATTGAGTGAAAAGAATAAGCTTGGGGTGTTTGTGTCTCTGGAGCAAAGAAAAGAAACACTTGACCACTACGGGTCGAGAGTTGAACAAATCATGAGCTTGATATTTACATAAGTTTATACACACGTCAAGTAATGTATATAATAGGCAGTGGTTGATTTGATTTTGCAATATTGAAGCCATTCATTGTGTTGATTATTGAATTTCAATCTTGAGATACGACAGGTTCCCAAACATGTTTTGTGAGAGTTAAGGCCATAATTTTGTTTGAGCACAAACAATAGTTCAAATTTGGAGGATTTTATAAGTGCATTTTACCTATTTATCTTGGCCACAAAACATGAATAATTATTGATAAATATGAAGAAATATGGCTTATTTGCATGTATATTATATTATGTAGGACAATATTGATGAATGTGGTGAAAATAAGGAAAAACAAGCGAAAAGGACCCAAATGAAAGAAAATAAAAGTTCTGGGACCAAAGTGAAAATAGTTGAAAGATGGCTTGAAAGCAAAAACAAAGATGTGAAAGAGTCAATGACCAATTTAGTGAAGACGTGAATATTGGAAGAAGAAAAAAATGAGAAGAGTTATCAAGAAACGAGAAAACTGAGTTTGGGGGGACTAAAACGCAACTTTTGGAATCTTATTAATTCTTATGCGGTTTGCATACCCATTTTCCGCAACCTTCAGTGCCAAGTTCCATTGAACCATACGATAGCATTGATTTGTATGATGCTGTAGCATAGAACAAATCTTGTAGGAAAAATTAGGTTTCCTTATTTGATTAATATTCCTATGGAAACAAATTTTGGGATGACTTTTAAACCCTAAGGCCATCCATAAGTGATTATTATGCATTCCAACACATTCATAAGGATTTTAAAGCATAAAAGGAGGCAAGGATCGCAAAGATTGATTTGAAAACCCGAAGATTCAATTGAAGATTTAAATTGATGATATCGTTTCTTCAATATTCTTGTTGTTTTTTTCTTTTCAACATGCTAGGCTAGGTTTATTTGTGCTAGAAGAAGATGAACCGTGTAATATGGATTTTTAACCTTTGATTTTACATATTTGACATCAAAAATACGTTTTGTAAAATGAATGGTTTCAATGAATTTCTTTTCTCCACGATTATTGTGCACGTTAATTGTGTGAATACGATGGCCTATAAAATGCATTTTAAAGAAAGAAAATTGGTTCGACATGGTATAAATAGTCACAGGGTCCGATAGGGGATATAAATATATCGCTATTCCTTATGTGAATCTTTAAGTGTTCATAAAAATTCATGCATTTTTGTATGTCCGTATCTGTCATAGAGATATAGTGGGGTCATATGAAAATAGATTTAACATTACACGAGAGAGATTGTTGAATATAATAAGAATATTGATTCTTCAATATACAATCGTGTTGTCAAAGTGTAAAACTAAGGTTAAAAAGGATTATTGCATGGAAATTTACGATCGTAGTGTGTTATTCGTCAAAATAAATCAATTTGCATCAATCATAATTTACATTTTGTTTAGTTAACTCATCCTTAGTTGTATACGTAATATATTTTACTTATAATTTGACCACAACAATATATCTTGTTATTTTTGTTTCGGTTAAGGCCACGATAATAAAAATTGAATTAAATCAATCTTTGTGAGGCAATACTTGGACTCACATCCACATCATTATTAACGAATCGTACACTTGTAGTGTTTTAAATCGAAATATATATTCGCATAACAATCTTTAAATAGACACAGTAGAGGTCAACAACATGTGGTAACATGCACCAATGACTGTGCCATATGCATAAATCGAGATTGGGACTACTTGGTCGGTTTAATTGTTTGTTTTGGTCGGTTATGATTCACTTGACGCATTTCTAGATTTGTCTCCATGTCCATCGCATTGTTAAGATATATCAATTATTACACTTAGTAGTATGTTTGAATCAAATATATTTAAGAACGTCAGTCTAGCGGAGTTATGTTTGAATAACTCTCTCTCTCTCTCTCTGCTTCATCATCTTGAATATCAAATAACGAATCCACTAACAGCCATTATATGTTACTTGATGTGTTAATGGAAGAATCCCACACAATTTCATCACCTTGTCCGTGTTTTATACATGATACAAATCCATTATCAAGTAACTCATACCCCAAGTGAAGTAAAACAGGAAGTAACTCATTTGATCACAAAAAAACCAATATCTTTTTGACAATTGTTAATAGAAAGGACTTGCTGCTAGGTCTTCAAATGTATAAAATGAGAGGTTAACGAGATATGCTTTTAAAATGAACTCATGCATCAATACAACTGAAGCTCCTACCCTGGAAAGAGTTCCACACAAACATTAAACTAAACCGCAAAATAAAAAATTATTAAAGAAATTAAAAAGGCCGGTGAAGATTACAAAACTGATATGACAAACGGTAATTTGACTGGAATTACATAACCAACCATATCGGCAGTCCTGGCATTGTAATTCCAGAAGGCCATTGTATTCACACCCTTTGCACGCTATGCGGGCCCCACGGATGGCACTGGGGTCGCTTTCCTTGCATCCTAATCCAACTTCCCCATCTCAACCACTGCCAAATTTGAAATGCCCACACATAAAGCACACAAAGTACAAAACTTGGAAGGAGAATAAAGTGCCGGTGGATTAATCTTAGTAATAGTAATTTATTAATATATAGATATATATAAACATTAATTAATCTAAAAATATTTTTATGTTTTTATTACTGGTAAAAATATTAACTTTTCTGTCGAGATTGATTTTTTTGAAAAAAAAGTATGGATGCTTTCAGCCATAAACTGTAGTGTGAATTAGCTATCTACAGAAAACATGCTTTAGGCCAGCTATGGATGTAGAGCATCTTCCTACCTTGGCATGCTTGTGTTGCTGAGTATTGAGTGCCGAGTGGCACCCTACCTGCGCCCAGGGTTGTGTATTTTTGCTGCTGTGGACAGAACTAACTGCTTATCGACCAGTTGGCTTCTAATTCGTTTTGGTGTCTAATACCTATTTAGAAAGAGTAAGTGAACCCTTAAACATTTATGTATAGAGTGCTCTCGATGATGAGCTAGCCATAGATACCCGGAAACTTGTAACTAACAAGTGGTAAACTTAATGCATACGGGGATTGTTGGAAAAGCAAAAGGAATAAACGGAAAGCAAAAATGTTTGATTCTGAAGCAATAGCATTGGAAATGAAAGAAAGAAGTTTACATTAATAATTAATAATCCACATTGGTTGTGTACAAATATTGTTCTTCTACACCCTAACCTAACAAACTAATGTCTGATACATGTGCAAATCAGATAATTTAGCTTCGTACACGTGAACTCTGTCACCTCTTGTTTAATTTGCATGTATGAAAACGTTAATTGCTCACATTTTAAAGCAAAAGAAAGTAAGAAACATTCCTTTATTTTAAAACTTAAGTGGACAGAAACTGAAACAGCAACAAGCCTTACACTCCGTCTCTTAGTGTTGAGTTTTGAGAGAATTTCCATTCAATGGATATCATCGCTCACTCTTCCACAGTACCAATAATGCTAATTTCAGGTAATATACAAACAAACACACATATATATACACATTTTAATCATTTACTGTTTAATCTTCTATTTTCTGTTACATAAATGCAGTGTCTTTGCTATTTCTAAGTGGGGTCGCAATGGGCTCTTCACTAGGCATCAACTATGGCCAGGTCGCCAACAACCTCCCCTCCCCGGAGGCAGTTGTCCCCTTGGTCAAATCCATCGGCTTCACTAGGATCAAGCTCTACGATACAGATCCACGCATCCTCAAGGCCTTTGCCAACACTGGAGTCGAATTCATAGTTGGAGTTGCCAATGAGGATTTAAAAAAATTGAGAGATCCAAAGCAAGCCCTAGCCTGGGTCAAAACTAACGTCCAGCATTACTTACCTGCCACGAAAGTCACTTGCATTGCGGTCGGAAATGAAGTACTCACATACAATGACTCCATTCTCTCCTCCAACCTTCTGCCAGCCATGGAAAGCATCCACATTGCTTTGGTCAATCTCAACCTTGATAAGCAGGTTATGGTTACCACAGCCCACAATTTGGCCGTTCTTCAAACTTCTTATCCTCCATCTTCAGGTGCTTTTCGCACAGACCTAATTCAGAAATTGACTTGCATCCTCGATTTTCACTCTAAAATGGGCTCCCCATTTTTAATCAATGCCTATCCATATTTTGCATACAAGTCGAATCCTAAGCAAGTGCAGATAGATTTCGTGCTCTTCGAGTCCACTTCAGGAGTGGTAGACCCTGTTTCGGGCCTGCGCTATGATAACATGTTCCATGCTCAGGTTGACGCAGCACATTCTGCAATGGAGAAGCTGGGGTACAAGAAAGTCTGCTTGCAGATCTCGGAGACAGGGTGGCCGTCTAAGGGGGATGCCAATGAGGCCGGGGCCACACCAGAAAATGCCAGAAAGTACAACGGGAATCTGCTGAAGCTGATTGCAGAAAAGAAAGGGACGCCACTGAGGCCTAATCTAGATTTGAATGTTTATGTGTTTGCTTTGTTCAATGAGAATATGAAGCCCGGTCCGACATCTGAGCGGAATTTTGGCCTTTTCAAGCCCGATGGCACCCCAGCGTATGATCTCGGCTTCAATGTATCAGGCGATTCAGGCTCCGCGACTACGAACACGACCAGCGAAGGTGGCTCTCAACCACCAGTAACGGGTTCTTCGACGGCAGACAGCTCTTCCTCCGGCTACTTGTCCATTACTTCTGATTCGGTCAGTTTTTTTAGCTCTTTTCTTTTTACAATTTTACTAACAAGAACTTTCCTTATTCTGAAAGAGAAAATGAATGAATAGTAACCTTATTGAAATTATATAATTACAAGTGTTTTTAGAGGATTGTTTTTTTCCTCCTCCTTGAACCCAAATAAAATCACTCCTAAGTAAAATCTAACGAGATAGCTAAAGATGAAGATAATTGCTAAGTGTTTATGTGCTTGCAGGAGAGAGTTCGTTCAACATTATTATTATTGTTATTATTATCATTTTTGTGCCTGAATGGTTCAACATTTCAACAACTATGGCTGATGTGATGATTTTTGCTTCAGGTTAGGAAAAAGAAACATTCCATTCCATTCCATTCCCTTCCTTACACGCAAATAATAATAATATTGTTCTCCCAAATTGTTTATTTCTTTTTTCTATAGCCAGGACAGGAGCGGAGATCCAACGGCTATTGAACGAATCTAAAGAGCGAATTCAGGAAAGCAAGAAAGATGCTTCATGCAGACGCTGCTTTTTCACTTTTAGGCTGGCACTCTACACTTTCTACTTTTCCTCTCTTGTATTTTTTTAGTATGGTGAATTTCTTGTGCACTAAAACTAGGAAGGAAGACGCACTTCTAGCAATGTTTTTCAGTGGGATTCTCCCTATAACATATCACCATTTCATTCTTCCCCAAGATAATCCTTTAAACATATAAATCTTTATTTTTCTAGTATATTTGTTTGGGTAAATTAATGTTACATGTCACAGTGTGATTATAGGCCTCCAACCTTCAAAAGTGAGATATGAATCCTCAACCTACTTAAATCTACGAATTTGAGTCTATATGTGATGAAAACTGTAAATATGGATGATAAAATTGCACACAACTTTAGGTTGGAGGGCAAAAAGCTAAAATCGCTCAACTGAAAGTCGAATTCAATTTTAACATCCATGTTGACAGTTTTCATTACTTGGAGACCCAAATTCACATATTTAAACAGAATCCAGCGCAGCCCTAGTTTTCCCTCTTTTTTTATTCAATATTCTAGACTATGAACAACCACAAAGTTCTTAATTAAATATAATAAAATTTCATCCCTAAAATTCGAGTGTGTATCATGTCAGGGATGAGTAAGTACGTTAGGAAATGGGAAAAATTCAAGCCTACTATAAATCCACTTTAGGACCCCAAATCACGAAGTGAGAAGCAGCTAGGAATTAGATATTTTCACTTTATTTACATCATAGAGACTGTTTAGGAGTGATATTGAAAATTGATTTTTTGACCATTAGGAGAAAAGTGGGGTCCACCGGTGAGAAAAGAAGTCAAATATGACAATTAGAATAGTGAAATAACGGTCATAAAATCACTCCCAAACAAACTGATAGTATTGCAAGTAAAACTCGCTTCAACCTCCAGTCTAAACTCAATAAGGCATGCTTGGATATCACAATGAGTCATAGGAAAAGATAATTCACAATAAAAGAAACAGGGACCTAAACATGCATAATGCATTGCAATTTATGTCTCCATATCAATTTCAGAAATACTACAAGATATAATTAGTGAACTTAAGGAATTCAGTTACCCTGTTAGGCGTTAGCTGCTTAGACATAGTGAAAAGCTTCTCATCAAAATATTTCCTTCAACAAAGTGGTCCGCGAAATTTTACAAATTAAGCTGAAATAATAACATATTGCGTAAATTAGACTTACACTTTTCACATCAAAATACACCTTCCCATCTTTCTAATATTACAGTCATTCAGTCATACAAGATAATATGAAGTGGCATTTTAACATATGCTAAACTAACCAACAGGAATCCACTTAAGATACACCTGAATAAAGGATGACAAAAGCTAAAAGGTGCTAGCCATAACGAGAACCTAACTAGTCATATAGAAACTAACACTACAACAAAAATTGTCTTTTGCAACGTTCAAAAAAAGTTGCGAAAGGCCTTTTGCAGCGTTTTATCGTATGCTACAAACATTGATGTTGCCGTAGAATGAAGGATACGATAACCTTTTTTTTGCATCGCGAAAAACCTTTTTGTAGCATTTTTTTCGCATTGTGAATAACTTTTTGCAATGTTTTTTCACGTTGCGAAAAACTTTTTGCAATTTTTTCTTTACATTCCTAATAATTTTTTTGCAACATTTTTTGAACGTTGCAAATAACTTTTTGCAACATTTTTTTTAGCATTATCTATGCTTTTGTCCTTATTTTTTGCAACCCGTTGCCATAGGTTATTTTACATTTTTTTTTTTTTTTTTGTGTTTGTAGAGTGATTTATACATATCAACCATAAAACATAATAGAAGATAACTATATCAAATAACTCTAATAATCATTATTAATTAAACTCCAAAATGAAACAATATCCATACAAAATCTAGATCCAAAATTCTAAAACACCTAAAATTTCAATACATTTTTCCAAAAAAAAAAAAAAAAAAAAAAACCC